ACACATATACACACGCAGACACACATATACACACGCAGACACACATATACACACGCAGACACACATATACACACGCAGACACACATATACACACGCAGACACACATATAAACACGCAGACACACATATACACACGCAGACACGCAGACACACATATACATACGCAGACACACATATACACACGCAGACATACGCAAACACACGTTAGTTTGTTTTTCGGAGTTTTGTGAAAGCCGCAGACGACACAAACAATTTTGTAACTCATAAATGCATAAAATATATGTACGGTGCTGGTTTGGAGGACGCAAAGTGTGTTTACTGCAGCCTCTCACATGATATCGCACAGTGATCTCTGTATTCGCATTTATTCACCTCGTTCGCATGTTTGTTTCGCTCACCAAGGGAACCCAAAAATTTGATGCTGTTTTTGCAGATCGTGGGGGGGGGGGGCTGTGCAGAGTCGACTACAGGGGCTTTTAGCAGAGGCAGTGCTGTGTTGCTGTTTGCCGCGTGAACATGTGTACGCCCGGCCCGGCCCGGCCCTTACGCGGTCACGTTGCACTGCACCCATTTCAACAGGGCCTTCTTGGCGTTGCCGTGGACCCTGGTCAGCACCTTCTTCTTCACGGGCGGGCTGGCTGTGTCCGAGCTGCCCAGGCTCTCCATGGAGGAGGTGCTGCTGGATAGCGACTGCAGCATCGGCAGGTTGCTGGTCAGCTCCTCGATCTGCAGGGGGCGATAGAGAGAGGAGGTGGGACGTCAGCATGGGAGAGGCAGAGCTTGCACAGCCAATGAGGGCACGGCGGCGATCAAGGATGGGGACTCGAGTCCTAGGAGGAGTCATGCTGTAAAAACCTTAAGTAAAAACCTCATCTGAGCAGAGTCAGTGTCAGTAACCAGTAAGAAGACGTCAAGACCACTAATCACTCTGAGTAGATAAGCAAGCGTGAGGTTACCTGGAAGTAGAGGATGATGGTCCACATCAGGCCCAGCACAATGGAAGGCCGCCCATCCACAATGTCCGTGGCATTAATGTTGACCAGCTTGATCTGTGGAAGGTGTTAAATCTTTAGATCAGATCATATGCGAAATGACACTTCGGGGTATTAACAGATCCCATAACCTGGGATACACTGAATGGATTTTATGCATGAGTACAATTCCAGTTAGCATCTGGCTTATAGTAAATGAAGCATGCTGGTTACCATTATCCACTAGTAACATTATAAAGATATTACAGCATGCTATACAGTTACTCCAAGCGCTCATTGAGTAGAAGTACATGGAACAGAGAACTCAAATATCCAAATACAGACTGTCGCCAACTCACGGCTGGGTTCAGTTCGGACAGGCAGGTCTTGCGTCATAATGGACGTATGTTGGAATAGGATGATCGCTCTGATTTTTAGGTGTAAGAATGAGACTGGGATATTTGTGTGAAACTGGGATAGTCGCGTATGTGTATATACGTTTACATTTTTTTTAAACTTGGGCCATAAGTGCCAGTCGTAAGTCGCATGGGGTGTAAGTCAGGGACAGTCTGTAAAAGTATAAGGACAGAATAACATGCATGTGACATACAAGGGAATCACAGGTCCAGTCACACATCTGCACCCACAGAAACTACAGAGCGAGAGACAAAAGTGTATGCAGGCGGTAGATATACACAGGGAAGGTGAGGAACGCGCACGTGTGACATGCGGAGGCCTCGTGCACGGGCGGAGTTTACAGACAGAAGCGTGCAGAGGCTCGACAAGCCGGTGAGTCGTCACTGACCGGAGATCCCCTGTAAGCGGACTGTCGCATGGGTGAGGAGAGATATTACAGACACGTCAGAAACGGGAGCGGAGATGAGAGGACAACAGACAGCCACCACCTCACGTACCCCCTACAGCGACGTGACGACCTGCAGCTTTCCTCTGGGGTTAATAAATACCCCTCCCTCCAGCAACAAGGGGGGGTTCCAAAGGGTGCTGGTTTTATTTTGATTTTATTTTAATTTAGCAGACACTTTCGTCCAAGGTGATCTACATTTTTTTTGATAAAGCAGGATCAGGCAGCCGAACTGGAGGTTAAGGGCCTCGGTCAAGAGCCCAACAGGGGAACCACTCTGCCAACCCCGGGATTTGAACCAGCAACCTTCTGATCACAGGCAGAACTGAGCTGGGTCTTTGCAGAAAAGGCTGAAGCCCTACATGGAGTCTTGTGTTTTTAACCAAACAGCAGCTGCAGTGAAATTTCATTAGAAGGGGGAGCTGGGCCGGCTCTGAACACAAACACGTTCTCCCCCAGGACGCGATCCAGCAGATGTGATTACGTACCCGCCTCCCCTCCAGGAACTTGAGCGCCGTGCCGACGTTGGACACCCAGTGGATTCTCCTCAGCTGCCGGCCTTGTTCACTGGGCTGGGGAGGGGGCCGGGGAGGGAGCGATAGAAGGGAGCATTAAGCAGACAGGTCGATACGCAGCAGCGGGTTTTCTTCATGACTTTAATACATCTCTGAGGAAACCACGAGACAAAGAACTTTAAAAAAGACATTCTCTTTTTCTATAATGGTCCCATCACCACGGAGCGCTTGAGGGATACAGAAGCTTCTCAGATACTTCTCAGTATCCCGATAAGCAGGATCGGCAGTACAACAGATCCACCCTCTATGGATCCGAGAGACTCACCAGCTTCTGGCCCGACAGGACCTCCAACAGGGCTAGCAGCTTCACCCCATCCTTGATGTCCTCGAACAGGTCGTTCACTACAAGGGGGGGTGTGCGCTGTGGGGGGGAAGGGCCAAAGACAGTCGTTACTAATCAGAGAATAATGGCTAATGCACACTCATTTAATCACTTATTAATGCGGCTAATGTGCTTAAGAAGCGTGATGTTCTTCACGCAAGTCTGACAGGCTCTCTGTGTGACTGACAGCTGAGTAGCGCTTGCTCAGAGTACATAACGCAGCAAGCAGGCCGTCAGAGCACAAAGACAACACAATATCACAGACAGTTTGTAGAGAATAACACAGAGTATACAGAGAATAACAGAGAGATTATACAGAAAATAACACAGAGCACACAGAGAATAACACAGAGTATACAGAGAATAACAGACAGATTATACAGAAAATAACACAGAGCACACAGAGAATAACACAGAGTATACAGAGAATAACACAGAGCACACAGAGAATAATACAGAGTATACAGAGAATAACAGATTATACAGAAAATAACACAGAGCACACAGAGAATAACACAGAAAGTAAACAGAGAATAACAGACTATACATAAAATACCACAGATAGCACACAGAGAATAACAGTAAATGTGCAGAGAATAACACAGAGAGCACACAGAGAATAACACAGAGATTATACAGAAAATAACACAGAGCACACAAAGAATAGCACAGACAGTATGCAAAGAATTACAGAGAGTATACAGAGAATGTCATGGAGATTTTATAGAAAATAACACAGAGAGCACACAGAGAATAACAGGGAGATTATACAGAAAATAACACAGAGCACACAGAGAATAACACAGAGAGTATACAGAGAATGACACCAGCAGTATACAATTTTGATGCAATTTCTCTCAAAATCTGAACACATCCAGAGCTTCACCCATACGATGTGTCTGCAAAATCAGGTGTCTGAGCTGCCCTTCTGCTATCAGCACACACTGCTGCTTCTGTTTTGCTGAGATCTGATTAGTTCCGGATTTTCACCCACAAAATGGGTTTGCAAAGTTTAAAAATGAACGATGAAATACTTTTTAGTGGCAACGAACATTCATTCCCATCCAGGGAGTACAATAACACTATGAGGATAACGCAGGCACTATGCAGGCAGTACAGTGATTACACAGTGAATACACAGAAAATACGCAGGAACAACACAGTGATTACACAGTCAGAATACAGACAACATCGTTATTACATAGGCAGTATACAATAATCACACAGTAAATACATGGCAAGTACACAGTGAGTACACTGCAAGTACACAGCGAGTACATTGTGAGTACTGGGGCTTCACTGTGGGTGAGTTGCCTCCACACACGCTGTGACATCGGCTTTGGCAGATAAGCAGAAAAGGAGGGGGGCAGACACCCCATTACGACGAGCCCAAGTCTCTCTCTGGCTCACACGCACATATCGCCCCCCCCCCCCCGACCCCCCCGCCTCCTCCTGACAGCGCATTAGGGATCTCCCATAATGCCGCATCACGTGACGCCATTCAGGGGGTTTAAGCGACCACGAATACCAGCAAAGTACATTTCAATCCCCGCTTCATTTAGAGATTAAAAAAGCCCGTTTCAGAAGGATCTGTCAAAGCTGCTGTCTCCCACTAACGGCTGAGCCAGCGCTACCCCCTCCCCCCCCCACACTCCCCCATTCCCCAATTCCATACCAGCAAAGCCACACCTTCTGCCTAGAGGAGAAACATTTAAACAATAGGAAACACACTCAGGGGAAGACATCAGCCATTCATAACTAAATTAACTATTCATAAGCTATTTTTATTCCCCCGGAAATTCACCCCACTGACCCCTAGCTCATAAGTGGCATTTCCATATAAACACGCTGTCTCTGAGATATTAATAAAATCTACAGCTTTTAGGGAGTGCAAGTCACATTTATGATGCAGTGATAGAATAAGCGCAGATGCTGATGCTGACGCTGAGTGTGTGTTGATTGGCTGAGAGCGTGCACGTTGGCTTTATGGCGGATGGCTGTTTTCACTGACACAGGCGCCGTGCGACAAAGCATCGCATTGGGAGTCTGCCGATCCGTGGCACTGCGACCGATTCGACGCGGGGCGGGAGCATGCCTGAGGGCTCTCAGTGTCTCGTCAGCGCTGTCACCGGCTCTGGGTCATTAACGGGACGAGCTGAGATTCCCATCAGAGCAGCCCATAAATCGAGCCTTCACCCGGCCTTATAGGAGAGGCTGAAATTCAGACCGACGGCGCCCCCTAGCTACTGAACTGGAATGCATCACCTGGCGAGATGCTGGAGAGCTTTTTCTCTGGCCCAGACTCTGTCATCATTCGCACGCAACAGGCTACAGATACATGCCCACAGATCAGTACTACATTCACCCTATTAGAAAAACTGCTAATCTGCTCTAATATTTGACTGGCATCCCATCCAGGGTGTCCCTTGTCTTCATCCCTGCGACTCCCAGTGAAGACTTCAGAACCACTGCAAGCTCATACAAAGGGACTGAGGTCTGAAACAGTGCCCCCTGCTGGGCAGGACAGAGAGGAGACCGGTCACAATTCCAGAGAAACCAACATAACTTGTAAACACCTTCCACACATTTCACACACACGCCCCTGAAAGCACAATCAGACGGCAATCTTAGAGATAATGCAGTATTATTCTCCGCTGACTCCAGCATCCATGACTGTGAAATTAAAAGCCAGGGAATTTTAATCCCGTTCCCACAAATCTTCCTCGCTTCAGGGTTAGTTACTCTGATCCATTCAGCGCCGTCTGGCTTTTAACCAAACAGCATAAAATAGGTGATGAGATTTCGACCGAGAGCAATTTGTCTCAGTGCCACAACAACGATTCTCCTGCTGGGATCTGAACCAGCAGCTATTGGTCATAGGTCCACAGGTCCAGAACAGAAGGCTCTGACACGTCTGTCAGTGCATTAACCCTATTAGGGGACAGTTTTAACTGTACAAGGTGACCACACTGCTCAGACCCGGCCTCCTGGGAGCAGGAAGCAGACCATTAGTTCTGTTGCTCGGCGACCACGGGAGCAGGGGGTACGACGGTCGATATCACCTCAGTAGCAGATAACGAGCAAATGAGACGTATCCATTTATCCTGCCCACAGAGCAGGCAATAAATTAACTTAGATGGAGTGATTTAGGGTAAGAGGAAAGTGTGGCTTTCATTCATTGTTCAGCCTGCCAATCACGGGACATTATAGCAGCCATCGCCATGACGATCTCAAACTCGTGAAATGGGAGTGAGATGGGGGAACGATAGCCAGGTAGCCTTTTCACATGGGGCTGTCTATTCGCTGGAACCCTTCGGGCAGGAAAGCGGGCAGATCCAGAGAGGGGTGGGGAGTCTAACCAGGTACAGAAGTGACACACAAGGCAGCCAATACTGGAAAGTCAAACAGACGCTGGGGGCTTTTCTCAATACCAAGAACACGAAGACCCTACTTGTGGTCTTGTCAAGACCAGTCTTGCTAACTTGCCTCCCAAGAACGAACTTGGGGCGCAATGAATAATGAGACTGGTCTCGTTCTGTGAGGATGCAACCATTGTCCTTGATATTTGGGGCAGAGCAAGACCAAAGTCCGGGGATTTTTACCTTCCTCCGTACTTCCTAGTATTGGACCTGGTCTCCGGCAATGGAAGATGACGTAAAACGGGTTCGCGAGAACACAAGTACGGTCAAGGGTGCATATTGAGAAACACTCCCAGTCTTAAGAAGGAACATTAGTGGGGTGTGGCCTTGAGCCACAGGGCCTGGGAGTGTCTGGGGGGGAGTAGGACAAAATAAGAACAGATGAAGTAAATGAGTCGACTCATCACCTGGCTTCACCCCAGCCCAATAGACTCTCCCCCCCCCTCCCCATTTGCAGCAATCAGACATTTCAGTGATGTACGGCTCAAAAGGCTGGGGCGCTGTGCCTTTGATCGGAAGGTCGCTGCTTCGAGTTAGGAAAGTTATTTTGCTGATTGGCCCTCGAGAAGACCCTTAAACCCCCCTCTGCTCCAACTGTCAACTGCCCATCCACAAAAAAAAGTACATCGCTTCGCAAAATAAGCATCTGCTAAACGAATAAAAGCGAATCATCACACCGCCAGTCCTGGCTTCGCCTTCGAATTAATGTCCAGCTCGCCGGAATCGGGGGCGACGGGCCGCAGAAACGAAATCAGATCGAGGGGCCGTATCGTCGGGGGACAACATCTGGGACAGGGATGGGGGAGGGACCCACGGCTGAGAGAGCGGGGATGGGGGCAAGGGATTAAACACGCCGAGCAAGGGCAGTGCGACGTCTGGAATGGATGTGATGTGAAGGGGGGGGCACATGGCGTAAGCGAACAGCACCTTCAGGCTTAATAAGCAAAGTTTGGATAACTGCATAACACCACCGCAGGAACCTTCTAAGGCGTAAGTGCAACATACTCAACTATTTGTTTATACATATATAAATAATATAATCTATACACAAAACTGGTGCCAGGAATCTGTTCTAAGTTTTGTGTGCGCCTGTGTGTGTGTGTATGTGTATATAAGCATGTGACTGACACACATCAGCATGGATCCCTCAGCTGTGGACCTGTGGAAACCCCAGGAGCAGGGGGATTGGGGAAGCCGTCTAGCCACATCCAGAGAGCCCGGCCGCTCGAGTTTAACATGCTGCATCGCAAACCCTGACGCCGACGATTGGGGGCTGGGGGCCTCGGCTGAGCCGAACACAACCAGGTTCAGTGACTTGCTCATTACGTGCCATTGTGTGGCCATGTTGCTCATGACCTCTCCCATAGCCTGGGACCACGCCCACATACCTGTGATCCCGCCTCCAACCCCATGTGACCCCTCCCCCACGACTCACCAACGCAGCAGTGCCTACTCGTTCAGGCCAAACTGCCAACCCCCACCAAAGACAAACACAAACAGACACAGCAGCACATCTGACCTACTCTCTCCCTGCCAAAAGCGCTAATCCCTCCCCAAACTGCGCTGTGGCCATTGTACTGAGAACAGAAGCCCCGGCTCAACGGATTCCGAGCTACTTAGGTCTGCAGGTGTGTCACTGAAAATGCAAAATGCAAGCGGACTGAGACTATGACTGAGACTATTTATAAACACACCGTGTGTCTGTGATGTCTGTAAAATTTAATAGTCAAGTGTATGACACACTGTATCTGCATCATAACACTGCATATTTTTTACACAAACTGTAGTGTCTGTAATGCACTGTAACTGCATCATTTTTTAACACAAACTGTAGTGTCTGTAATTTACTGTAACTGCATAATTTGTAACACAAACTGTAGTGTCTGTAATGCACTGTAACTGCATAATTTGTAAGACAAACTGTAGTGTCTATAGTGTACTGTAACTGCATCATTTGTAACACAAACTGTAGTGTCTGTAACACACTGTAACTGCATCATTTGTAACACAAACTGTAGTGTCTGTAATTTACTGTAACTGCATCATTTGTAACACAGACTGTAGTGTCTGTAATGCACTGTAACTGCATCATTTGTAACACAGACTGTAGTGTCTGTAACGCACTCTGTGACCCCGACAGCTCCAGGAGGACGAAATACTAGCCGGAAACACCGGCAGATGTTGGGGTCTATTGCATACAGTAAAGTAGGTGAAGGCCAGAGGGACACCCGGGGTGTTCGGGCTGCCTGCAGCTCCTCCTTACCTTGGCCAGGTGCGAGTTGATCCATTTGGTGAAAGTCCTTTTCTGAACTGCCTCTTGTTCATCTGAAGGCAGAGGGGAAAAAAGCGCATCATCAGCAACAGGACAGCCACCTCAGTCACGACAGCCTTTGCTCTCTGATCTCCTGACACATCCCACCTCCTGACTTTCCCCGCCTCCACGCTCCGTCTGGGCACGGCTCACAGCGGTTTGACATTTTGATGATCTTTCCAGAAACAAGGCCCATCCTGCCTCTGAATGGAGAGCTTGTACTGGCTCTGCAGCGTGGCTGACAGATATCTCCGCACACGCTTGGGTTTGTCCCGCATCTCCAACCGCACACGCTACTGTGCCAAACCCTGAAACACCGCACTCTTACGGTCCCCACAAACCACGTTCCCGAAAAGCTCCTTTAAGCACAGCATTTCTTTTCTTAGAGAACGAGGGTAGAACGTGATATTCAGGTCAGAGAGCCGAAATATTCCAAACACAAAGCTCAAAGCCAAGGCGGAATACTTGGATATTTCACATTCCACAATGGAATCTAATCATAAAACGGCTGCAAACGTCTAACAATGAACAATCGTTCATGAGAGTCTGGAGGTTAACGCAGGAGCTGCAAGCAGCTCTGTAACACAGCAGGTTGACAGCTCGAATTTTTTACAAAATTTAATTTTGATATAGCGCCTTTCATAATAAGGCACTGCCGAACCATATAGAGCTTAACAAAGATTTTTCCTAAAAAACAGTAAGAACAGTAAAATCACTAACAGCAAGCCTACCAAAGCCTAACCTTTGTCCAATTCGATATATTTTACCGCACAATTTCTGGAAAGCAAACCAGTGGCGTGCATCACTGAAATAAATTTCTATTTCAAAATTAGTCAATTTAGCCTCTTGAAAACAGGGTTTGACTTGCCCTCTGTGAAGGATCTCAAGCTGCCCCTCCCCCCCAGTATGACTGGCAGCTCAGGACCACGCCCCCCTTGTCACAGACAGAAGCACCCTATGTGATTGACAGCTCAAGACCCCGCCTCCCTGGCAGACATAAAAGCACCCCCCCACACACACAATGCATATTCCCAGACTTTAGTTTTGTGAATTAATGAAGTGAGTTCTGAAGAAACATGAGCTATTGATAGCCCCCACCATCCACCCCCCCCCCACACACACACACCAGACCTCACACCCCCATGTTGCTGAGTAACTTCAGACAGATCAGGCCAGACAGGAAGCAACATCTGGGTGTTCAAACCTCCAAGGGACCCACAATTCTCATAAAGAAACACACACACCCCCCCATGACCCCCCCCATCTCCCAATCCCCACCCCCCACACTATCCCCTGGCATCCAAGGTAATCTCAGGCAGATAGTGACATGAGGTGCAGCGCATGGTCGCTTCCCGCCTAGACACAGATCACACGTGTGGGCGGACAGGCAGCATTTGGCTGAGTTCAGAGTGTCAAATGCGGTGTGGAGACTCAGTATCCAGCTTCTGCTGTCTACCTGCTGTCTGCCTGTCACACATACAGAAACAGAGATACACAGACACTGAGATACACGCGCAGATGCACAGACACATTCACTGACGCACATACACTGACGCACATTCACAGACACACAAACACAGACCCTGCCCCCTCCCTACCGCGGAGGTACTGGTGGAAGCCCGTCACCAGGCTGACAGACGTGCTTTTCCTTGTGGCCATGCCGGCTTTCCTGGCCATCCCAGATGCTCTGCCCTTCACGCACCAGCGAGGCAGCGCCCCGCGGGGGCCGAGGAGGGAAACGCCGCAGCGGCGCCCGCAGGGATCACACCCCCAGCACAATGTCCAGACGGTGAACCCAGAATAACACGCGAGTGGCTACACGACTGCAAGCGGACGGCCTCACGCCCCGACTCGCTGCCGCGCTCTGCTCTCCTCTGCCAGTGCGCGCTGTCCCTGAGCTCTCATCCCCCGCCTCCCGCAGCCTGCAGGAATAATCCGCTTCCCCCCGATCGGCCAATCAGCACGGAGAGAGCCTCTGATGTCACGGTAAGCTGTGTTTACGGAGCAGGGGTAGCCTTGGCAGGACACACACACACAGAGCACGGACACACAGGATGGGCCGCCATGGGACCGAACCGCTGAAGACAAAAGTAGCGTTCTTCCAACAAGGCAAGATTACAGAGCACAGAATAGCTACACTTGTGTGCGTGTGTGCGTCCGGGTGTGCACGTGCGCGTGTGTGTATGGGGGGGGGGCTTATGTTGGAATGTGGCATGCATCATCACACACACCCCATACTGGCGTCCACTGGATTCTCAGCCAGCAGCATCAACAAAGAAATGAACAGAGAAACCTTTATTACTTGTGCAGCCCCCCCCCCCCCCACCGCGGCTCTACATCACCAGAACGTTTCCATTTATCAGCGTCATTAATAACTCATGCCAGCTGTCACATGCCGTCAGCCTGGTCTCTGTCTCTCACCCCCAGCTCGACCCCCTCCGGGCCCCTTGTACCCTCCTCCAGCGTGTCAATCACGCCCATCAGCCATTATCGATGCTAATTATGCGATCCAAACGATGCTCTCAATCGGAGCCCAGGCCTCGTGGGAAAATGCAAAGTGGCCTTGTGCTGTTTGGGGACCAGCTCTCTTCCAGATTGAAAAATAACCGGCATTCTTCTGTTTTATACATAATTTTCCAGTAATTTGTAAATTACTAATGCTAAGATTAAATTAAAATGAACTCAATAACACATTATGACTATAGCAATAAAAACTTTCACAATATGCTTAACAAAAGCCAATCGTTTTTTTTAAAGAAACTGATATAGTGCGATTGTAAACAGGAAGGAAGGAAGCAAGGGGCCAAAGGGCAGAGGTCAAACTCTTGGGGGCTGCAGGCATGGGAACATGCTGGACAAATGCTTATGTTGGACCCTCGTAAAATTCTGTGTTGTAAAATGGTTGTGTTGATTTGAACGGCCTGCTGTCTATATGCACTGTCCTGAAAGCACTGCTTTCTGGTACTGTAACCCCTTCACATTTGTGAGGGTTAGGGTCAATTTGAGAATTCGGATTTGGCCCCTCTAGCCTCTAACAATAGCAGTCTGCTAGCCTGAGCGATAACATAACAAGCCTAATTATTGCCAATTTCTAAACAAACAGTACTGCTCTGCATCCTTTGAATGTCAAATTACTCTATCATTAAAATCAAGCCCTTTTTACATAATATACAAACAATCTAACCTAAATTACGGCCCTGTAAGTTGCTACTGTACGCACTGGAAGCACAACGTTTTTGGACTCAATGTCCAAAATGCAGAATCAATGGCACTGAAACGTTTAAAAGACACTGCGAGAAACATAAGATCCCACCGTAACAGAGAGAGCTGACACATGAGTGAGGCTGATTGCTAAGACAAAGACACAACACATACCCAGGCCAAGACTTTTAATATTATAGGTATAACATGCACTTACACTAACAAATATTATGTATTACTAACATGTATATATTATGTGATTTTATGTGATAAAATCACTTTCAGCATTGTTTTTGGCTTACACATCTTCTGCGAGTTCCTGCAATCTTTCAGCAAAGCATTCCCGTCTAGTTGTTCACAGCCAATTTGCGAATAATCAGAAATGCCAATGTCAAATGCATCAACGTGAAGATGTCACTGCATTATTTGCACTGTGTCATTTTTTCTGTCATTGTTGTCTGCTATTGTTTATCATTTTTATTTTGTTACCAACACCTCCAGCTTTGATTCCTCAGTGTTTGTCATTAGACTGTTCTTTGTTCTGTCTGAATCGCAATTTCGTTTCACGTGCGTGAAATAACAATGAAGTCATTTAAAGTGACCAAATGTGGCGGCCAAAACACGCAAAAAAATCGCACATGAAGCCGTTAGGAAAATTATCCGTCTGTCCATTTACCATGACTGCTTATCTAATCCAGCAGTAAGACTGCATTTATTCATGAGCTAGCGGCGTGTGCCATAGGCCAAAGACGTCAGTGAAATCAATGTATTTGAATAAATGACAATAACTCTCTTGAAAGCAAACAGACGTCTTGTTTTCTTTTGTACAGGGCAGGATGCTGGGACATACTGATGCAGGGGGCGGGGGCACGGACCACTACTACCCGACCTGCAGACTGGGACAGGTGTGCGAGAGCTGTCCGTGGTGCTGAAGCAGGAAGCCTTGGAATGGGTGGGGGGGGGAAACCTGCATCATTTTTGGGTTTATGGGCTTCAGGAGTAGCACCTGAAATGACTGTGGTTTATGTCAGAGGCTTTGATGCCAGATCCGGCTTTGAAGTGTCATGGTGCAGAGTGACCTTCATCGGGATAAGTGGGTGGAGGATGGATGGATGGTCCGGTGGCTGAGTGCTGCAGGGTAGTAAACTTGCCTTTAAAATATTACGGTACCAAATTCTGAAACTTCAGAATGTGAGGTTTTAGGTTTAATTCAGCGTATTCAGTTCGACTGTTCCTCGTCCTGGCTTAACCAAACACAGTTGAAGCTTTTCCTCTGAAAACAATTTTAAAAAGCACACAAAGCACAGAGGAACGCGGGGGAACAGAGCTGGGGCAGCCTTCAGTTTCACGCGGGACGGCCTGGGGGCGGGATGCACACGTGGGCACGTGCGCTTCTGGCCAGCGCCACGACCCGGGGGCGTTTGAAGCAAACGTGTCCCACCTGGCCCTCTCAACAAACTCCGCCGTCTAGGACCTTGCCCGCGGCCATGACCGCGCGCATCGCGGCTTCTCTGCACTTCTGCATTCCTAGGGGAAGGCAACGGGGCAGTTTGGCAGAGACGGAAATCAAACAGCCTATCCTGTGGGCTTAAAGGCACGGCTCCTCCTCGGCGATCGATTCCTGAAGATGTCTGGGAACGCAGCCGTGAGGAGCTCGAACTCCGCTCTGGTAAGAAGAAAGCCAAGGAGCGCCACCTGCTGGTCGTCACAAACATGAGCGTGACAGATGCACGGCGGTAACGGCGGCAAAAAACAGTTGGCAAAGCTGCGATTTCTCTTGTTACGGCTGAGATCAAACAGAGTGCGGCCAAGA